TGAGACTAAAGAAGAAACCAAGAATGTAGTATATGAAATCCCATGTACTTGTAAAGATACCAATATTTATATAGGTGAAACCAAACGAAAATTAAGCATAAGATTAAAAGAACACATCGCTGATATGAAATATCATAGATTAAATTCAGTTTTTCATGATCATTGCCTATTAAACAACTGTAACATTGATAAAACTAATACAAAAATCTTATACAAAGAAAAGAACACATATAGTAGAAAATTTAAAGAAAGTGTAGCTATAATAAACTCTAAAAATTGTTTAAACAAGAATCTAAGCATTAAAATAAGTAACGATTGGCTAAAAATATTGTAATAATGAAAGATAGTTTGTATGTTTTAGAAAAATTCTAAAAATTTTTGTAAAAATATTTAATGTGTTCTGTTTACTTAGATACCTTTTGCTATTACAAATATTATGTAAAATCCGACCATCATGAATGGTAAAATGCAAATTAGCAATAAGACTCAATATTGTATAATGCCCAGGAAACAAAATTGTTAGAATATGCTAAGTGAGGTTTATCTGATTCTGTTATGTGCAAATGAAATGTAGTGAGAAACCAACAAATATATTCATTAAACATTAGAAAGGATTCTGCCTATATATTCATCAACTTTAGTAAGAAGATAAAGGATGTGTCACGGCTACTTAACAGTAAGAAACAATTGTACACAAAAATTAGTATTGTTATGTGCGTTATCAGTATAAGCGTGTATGATTATACAGTGTTTTATTTTTTAATTTAATGTATGTAGGTTTATGTTATCATTGTTATCAACTTATCCTAACAGCAGTTAATAATAACTTGTGCTGTACGTGTGTCATCGAAATTTTTTAAATGGTATGTCTTAAATGTTATATGTTTTAGAATCGTTATATAATTTTTACATCAACTGAATAAAGTGGATAAACGCCAAGTGTTTTAATAATAACACAGTCTTGTGTTCAATAGTAAAAAAATTTGAAATATTAAGGACGTAGAAGCACAATTAATTTTATACAATCAATATTACTTTATTTTCATTGTGTTATTAGAATAAAAATAAAATAAGAATACAGTTGAACCTGTCTATTTCAAACTTGTCTATCTTAAAAACCTCTTTATGTTGAAATTTATTTTTTCCTTGCATTTTCAGCCTAAATTCAATATAGTTTCCATGTTTATCTTAAATAATTTTCTCCAAAAACCTCTATCTCAAATTATGGACTGAAATGTCAATTACAAATTCAAAGCTTGGCAACTAAATTTTGATAGCATGAATTGTAATTGAGAAGCATTTCTTACAATACAATAAATAGTTTCAATTAATGCTGCTTTTCTCTGATTGGCTACAAGTTTGGCTTGATGTCTTATTGGTTGAAGAAAATTGGGCATTAGAAACTATTGACAAACTATTTATGTAAAGGTATGTTAAAATGTTTTATTTTTATGTAATACTGTACTTGCTATTATATTAATAAAATACCATACTTCCAGTCAAGCCTATTATGTTTTACTGTCTGGAACTCTGTCCATATCTCAAAATCTGATCTCAAATTTTTTTCTCATTCCTGTGAGATTCAAGATAGACAGGTTCAACTTTATTAGAATATAAATTCAAAAGCTTCATTTGAATGTAACAGCTTTTGAATTTTTTTTTTTTAAGAGTTATGATATTCATTAAACTTTCTAAAATATTATATGTTTTAGTGTTGATACTATTTTATTTTTACTTAATATTAAGTATAAAATAGCATTTTAAAAATAAACATGGTTTCCTAATTTAATTAAGAATTTTTTATTAGGATCATGATATTCAAATTGGAAATGATATATCAAATTCTGAACTTCTTTGCTTGCTTTTAAAAACGCAGTTTGATCGAAATGTAGTCACTCAGTTTGATGTTCAGGTATGTAATTTATTTTTAAAAAGCATAATTTGTTAGTAGAAGTTTATAAAAAGAAGAAAAAATTGATTGAATTATTGTAATAAATGGTCAATTATTGGCTTAAAACTAAATGTGCATGAAATACAAGCTAACATTATTTATGTTTTGAATATAACACAGACTACTAGAAGAAAATATCAATTATTTATATTTTGCAGAAATTTATTATATTAATATTTCTTATACTGTACAGTACATTCTATTAAAAAAATTATTTTATAGTATATATGACAAGGGCCATTTGCTGTTCCAACATGTAGTATGTAGAATTCCAGCTAGTAGGAACATCTTGAATTAATGTGTATTTTTGCAAACCTAACTTTTCTTGCAAATCTTCTAATTTGATTACAGCTACAGCAGAATGATTAAAATGTGTGACAATATTTCTATTAACTGTGATTATAGTTTTCACATCTTGTTTAAAAAATATGCATTCGTTTAGTGTCAGCTGCAGCGTATGATAATGCTTCTAAGTTGCAATTCCTAATTCC